GTCTAAAAGACAAATTAATCTTGTACTGTAGCAACTAAAACTATTTTATTTTGAATACTAAAACTAATACTAATACTAAAAAATTATTATGCCTACCAAAAACACTGCATAAAACACATTAATAAAAATTATGCATGCATCTACAAAAACTACTAAATACTGTATAATACTTCTAATATTATGCCAAAATGTTATACTTCATGATATCTCTTCTGGTAAAACACGTTTCTCTTCTAGTGCTGAATGTTCAGCTGTGTCACTGGCTGCCTCACTGTGAATATTTTGGGCCTGTAGCATATTTTCCATTCCTTTTTGTGTCTCTTTTAAAAATTCTATTTGCTCTTCAAACCACGTTGTAGCCTTAGTTTCTGATTTATTGTACAGCTTGACGGAATTGTAAATCAATTCACCGAGATCTAATGGCACAGTGAGGACAGCAACTACTCCTCCTACTATAGCGACGCCTCTTGCTGCTGCTCCAGTCACTCTTAATGCAAATGCACCACCATGAAATGCTGATCGAGCTACTTGTACTCCACTGGTTACAGCATTAGCAGTAACAGCTCCAGTTCTCAGTAGCTGACGACCTTGAAGTACAACAGCAACAGCTTCTTCTGTACTAGCAGCAGGATTATCTCTTATTGCTTTGTTAACGAATCTTTCCATGAGAATTTCATTCACTTGCTCTGTTAGCTGTTTGTCAACATTTATTATAGCTTTGGCTTGTTTGAGTTTATGATTAGAAATCACTTTGTCAGTTACAGTAGAAGCTATTGTAACTGCTCCACCAGCTATTCCTACACCAGCTCCTATAACAGATAACGCTATTGAGCCTCCAAAAGTGACTGGTATCAATCCAATACCAATTACTGCTAAGCCCCCTCCTACCAATGATGTAATAGATCCAGCAATTCTTGACTGACGGACATTTTGACATATAGAAAAGATTTTCCGTCGGTCCCTTTCCAGCTTTTCGACAGTTGCTTGTCTCAGTTTAGATAGAACACTGAGAGCTAATCTCAATTTAGCATCACATTGCTGCTCTTTATCAGTACTATGGTATAAAAGAATAATTATAATCAAACCAAATATATTATGCATGCTTACTCTCTAGGTGTAAGATCCCAGAAATGTAGTGGATTTGTCAAAACGTCTTTCATGGTAAATGTAGGATCATTAGCACTAGCAAATGCAGCCAATGATTCTTGAATAGTAAATTGAATTCTCAAACTCGTAATCATCGTAAGCATGGGCTTTCTTTCAACTGGGAAACTCCCAAAGTAGCTAGCAATGAAAGTGTGAGGAACACCATTGAATTGTGGTTGCACATCATTTGGTTCATTCAACTGTGTCTCAGTGAAGAACAGCTTAGGCTTCTCCTCTAACGAAGAGCAAGCATCACGAGAGAAAAGCATCACTAGATCATTCACTCCCAGCTTCTTTCCATCACTTCCATAAATCACCTTCTCCCTTTCTCCCTCGCTAAGAACAATGAGTACAAAACAGTATTGGCCCGAGTGATCAACTGTGGCTACTGTCTTCAGAAGGTGCTTGATTCCTTTGCGAGTTAGAGAACTGTATACTTGTATGTGAAACCCAAGCCGATTTGATAACACTTCTTTCATTTCTTTTATTGTTTGATCATCATACTTCTGAGTGTTGTTGTTTATTATGATGCAGTATCCTTGAAGAATCTTGGGGTCTTCACTCACATGATAGGTGGCTATTTAAATTAATCATAAATAATACAGTTGTAAATTCTTTTACCTGTTACACTTAAACTTGTATCTGATTGGTTCTCAGAAAGTTCTGATTGGTTCTCAGTAGGTGCAGCCATTCTTTCTGCTCTTAACAAAAGCACTTCTTCCCAGTTTATGACTAAATTTGTTGTGTACGTGAGTCCATAGGCGTTAGTCTCGCTGGCACGGGCTTTACTTTAAGCTTTGTCCGGGTAGAAATTGCAGTGGAGGAGGAGGACGGCTACCATGCATAGTTGTAATTGACCAATCAGATTGCTCAATTTCAGGTTCATAAATAACTTACTATCAGCAAGTTTCCCGGGAGGTTGAATAAGCAGCCCGGGAGGTTGAATAAGTAGCTGGAGGTGAATAAGTGGCCCGGGAAATTAGATCTACTTATTCCCTCTTGTTTCAAAAATGTATTGCTGTTGCTAACTGTTGCTAAGTAAGCTAGATCTAGTTGTTTATTTTAGTAAATGGTAGAAGTTGGTTATAGAAACTGTGCCAGTGTGAAAAGACCTCTAGGCAGGCTCTAGATACGCCTATGTACGTGAGAAAGCTAGGACCTAAACTGCAATGGAGCCAATACTTGACACCTCGTGTCGTGATTAACAAAATACATGAATGAATAAATGTAGATCTAAGACAAAGTGATCTTTTGCAACATTGCAGTTTAGGTCCACCTAATTAATAATTAATTTAAATAAGTTTAACCCCTAAATCTAAACTTAAAAAAACTAAACCCAAAACCCTAAACCAAAATCCTGAGTGAGTGGGTTTAGTTTACTATCAGTAAGGGCTGGGTGCATGGGTTGTATATAGAACAGGTGGATTAAAGATTATATTACGATAAATACAAACCTTATAGCTGCATGACATGCACTTAAATATTTCTAAAGGGAGTGGATCCTATGGAATGTGGTATCTGATTACAGTTGTACACCTAGTGTCTACAATAGGGTACAAGAATAAAACAAGAATCCTAAACCTATAAGAAACTTAGTTCACTGCCCCTGGAGTATTGTTTGTTTTTGTTAAATCCACCGTATAGCTAGAAAATTTAGAGTGCTAAAATAATAAATTTGGCAAATTAATAAATTTTGATGTTACTGAATTATTGGTAAATGGTATTTAGTGTTCATGGTGCGATACTTTATGGTGTGATCCTATGTGTTCAAATTTATACTAGCTAGAGCAGCATTAAGTGCCCATTAAGTATTACAGATATTGCCTACTAGCTCACTGTTCTGTTGTTGCATAAAATTGTAACTCTTAAATTTTTAAAGCCGAATCTGCTTGTCTTGCGAGCCAAACCATTCCCTAGCTCACAGTCATGACTGTAGGCTGGGGAATGGTCTGGCTCACAATAACAATGGTTACAATAGATACAATGACCACATTACAGTTGCTTGACTCAATTTTCTTAACTTCCTGCTCATGTGAAATGTAGTATGGTGAAAGTCATGTGATAAATGAGTTTGTGGACCTTAGGGTCAAGCATAGTGCTTTACAAGTTGCTTGGCCCTGCAAACTTGTTAATCACGTGACTTTCCCCATACTAATAATACTACTTATCACGTGAGCAGGAAGTAAGAAAATTGGGTCAAGCAACTTGCAAGTGCAAAGCTCTACAGCGCTTTGCACAAAACTTGCCACCACCAGTTTTAGTCACGTGATGATTAGCCATATGATTAACTTAA